TTTTAATGATTTAAATGCGCCCATGTTTATGTTTGCGTGATTATTACGAATGCAACGCATTATCATACCCCGGGTCAGTGCCCTAACAATAGTAAAAGATAAAATGAATTTTGCGTAGTTATCATGAAAGCAATACATTACAAAGTTGAGTTATTCAGAGCTGGTACAATATTGTAAACAAATTTGCGTAATTAGAAAAGCAGTGCACCAAGTAAACGATGTTGATATATTCAAAGTACAGAGTTGCATACAAGTTGCATAATTACAGTATCAGCGGATATAAGTTTACTAGATCGACGCGTGGAGCGCGAAAGAAAAAGGTTGCTAAGGTAACGCGCCAGTTCAGTGCGTGATTTGGGGTCAAACTTCGGTCAACACACACTTGATGTCAGCATCGCCGCGCAGCAAGTTTCGCAAAAAAGTACTTGAAGTTCAATTGCACCCCAAAATGATGTCACTGATCACTCAGTTGTCGCATCGTGTGTTGTGTCATGTCATGTCCATGATGCACCTAGTTTCGACTTTGGCTTGCTTTTCCTTCTTAGTGCATGTTCTTGTTCACGTAAAATGCGACCTCTCACCAACGTGTTAAAACACTTTGAATTGATACGTTGAATGATTATATTTGGTCAATTATTATTATTATTTTTTCTAAACATTTTCTGAGACCATTTTTATCAGCGCAGGGTTATTTTTTCAGACAAGATGGGCTTCGTAATATCTGCCATAACATCGCCCGGGCGATCTTTTGGTCCACATTTTTCTATAAAAAAAATCAAATCCGCCATAAGATCGCCCGGGCAGGGTATCGGTCGAATCCGGTAGTGCTGACTTAGAGCTAACTGATTATAACAAATCCGATAACGGTACACTCTCCCCATAGGCTGGGAGTAATGCAAACATATCTGTACTTGAAGGCATGTATATCCCGTAAGTAAATATATGCTGTCATGAAGGCCCGCCCTATGTTTAGAGAACCGATTGTACTGTTGACGCTGTTCAACATAACAAAGGGACTTGAATAAATTAATTGCGCGGTACGCCATCTTGCTCAAGTTAGCACCCACTTTCGACGAAACTGCCAAGTTTTGTCACATTTTAGGAAAGAACCAACCAATTTTTCAACATTCCACGCATATCAGATACTTGTATATCTACAAAGTATGATCGAAATGGTCGACATTTTGTCATTAATTAGCTGTTTATCTGTGGCCAAATTCGAAAAAACGTTTTATTGAGTTTTTACGGAAACTAATTTTTGACTATCATAACTATTGAAGATGTCATCTTTCAACACTTTTCTCTATGCTAATGATGTACAAATTACACAATCTATTCGCCACAAAATGGGCTAAAATATGATGTCTCATGGACGTTTATGTGAGCCGTTGACGTTGAGTTACGGCCTTGGGAACAGGAAGACGTTCGTAAAATTGAGTCCATAAAGTTCAACAGGCTTTATCTCCAGAACTATGGGGCACATAACAATTTCGAGACGCATTCTCAAAGATCATTATCTTATAAAGCAACAGTGAAAAGATCAGAAACATAGAAAAAAGGAACACCCAGAAATGGCCAATCCCGCAAAAAAACTCTCTGTTTAGGAGGTTAACGGGAACGACCGTAACTTAATCTCCTGAGCAAATATCAAGACGAAACATATATGATCGTATTCTGCTATATCTCAACTTTCTAAAAACATATACATTGCCATAACTGCATGCTTAGTAACTGGTGAGGAAAGTCCTAAACTCCATTAAACTATAAATTATGTTTCCCCTCTCGCTACCTTAAATTACAATCCTTGTGATATTATGTCATATTTACAAGTGATCTTTCGACAAGTTGTGAAGTGACAAGATCAAATACATAATTGTATTCACAATCTATATGTGCTGTGATAAGTTATGATGATTTACAGGAACATTTTGCTATTTCGTTTTGAACTATAGATGCCCTGCTAGATGTGTGCATTGAAAGCGTACTGTCCACACCTCACAGATACACATAGTTTTGGTTGAAGTTCATGGAACACTACATTGTTGATTGGAGAACCATACCGTATATCAATTATACTAACCTTGAAGAATAGATTTTTCATTAGCTTGGCAACCCAATATTTGGCTGTTAGCTGTTTTAAGCTGCACTTCTAGATTAGTAACCTCACATGTTAATTCAGTTGTAGCCTGCAGTGTCAACAAATTATTATTATATGTACATGTGTACTAGTATATATTCATATAATAAACCAGAAATCTTGGAGACAGAATCTTCAGATTTGCAAAATAAAAATAATAACTTTGGATATAGATGATGCTCATCCCAATGCTTTAGTTGGATATAGATTTTATTCAGGTGAAGTTTCGGTATAGATGCAATATGATAACTTTGGAGATAGATGATGCTCATTACAACGCTTTAGTTGGATATAGATTTTATTCAGGTGAATTTTCAGTGCAGATGGTATATCAAACCTGCCAGTACCTGGATGGCAGAATTTGTACATCAATCAGTGCAGATTGATCTGCCACTGCTGATGAAGAATGACAGTGCTGGAGGTTAAAACCACTACATCCACAATTTGCAAAATAGTCATAAAATAATGAAATGTTGTGACTATGAATAACAAACCCAAATTATACATGTACTAATAGAGATATAGTTATTCATGGCCACAGTACTTCTCTATCTTATGACTTATTTATTTAGCAAACCTGTAGAATGTTGTCTCCAATAATTTGGTGTGACAATAATTTGTCTCGTCAATCAATCTTACTTTTTGTATAGCAGCATATAAAGCATATTATTGCACAGAATTTCTTGGAATTCTGTATACATATTTATGTAGAATAGAAATGAACCTTTATTGCTATAGTATCCAATATTTCAGGTTTTGATGAAAAATACAGTAATCAATTCGGAAGACATAAAAAATAACCACCACTAACAATACAGGGAAAAAACAAGACGCTCAATACATATACATGTATATATTGGTTTCAAAACCATGTAAGTGCATGATTTTTCCAAAATGCAAGTTAGTTTACAGATTTGGGGTATTTCCAGAGTATGAATACTAGTACATTTGTATTGGATTTCTGAAGAGCCACAAATACCCTTACCCTACCCTAACCCTCCAGTCCCAGACCCCTCCCCCCATTTCTATTGTACATGATGTAAGAGCGAGAAACATTTTAGAATCAAATTTGGAACGACACTGGAAGGTTAGGTCTGTTTAAAAAATAGCTTGGATTCAGTTATGCTTGAGTTATTAGCATCTTAAGAAGTTCTCATGTTACTGAATTAATATTCAACGTGAAGCATTTTCCATTGCTCCTAGGATTTCTTCACTTTCAGTGGTAAAAACAGAAAATTCTAAATATCGCCCAACGGAAGTTATAAAAAATGTAATACCAAGCTAATCCATTATGAGGTAATTAATCAAATGTATCAATGAATTAAATTCAGTTGAACCATAGACCTAAGGTCTAATATTATATAGATATAATACAAATATTATATTCTGAGTATATGCAGTATATTCTAAATTTACTGAAAAAAAAAATAAACAAAAAAACATGGTTTTATTCAAAAATGTATATAATTTTCAGAAATATGAATAGTGCTAACAGAAAATATAACATGTAGGTGGTAAATGAGATTTTCAATGAGACCCACAGGTGTGAATACAAGTTTCAACAAACATAGAGAAATCTATTAAGTACTTAAAAATTACATGCTAGCTAAAAAAAAAAAAAACCATGCATGGCGCAGTCCCTGTTAGTTATCAAATTTAAGATATATAATTTTGTTTATAGTAATATAGCTGGAATATAACCATGTCAGGAATATGATTTTTTAACATTAAAATGATTGACATTTGTATCTGATCGTCAAACAAGTACTTGTCCATATTGAGAGACATTGCTCTGGAACAGCATTCAAAATCAGCCATTTTGAATACATGTATATATATAAGATGATGTATAACAAATATATAAAATTTGAATATAATAAGTCAAAGCATTTAAGAGATATGGCTCTAGAAGCCCAATCATTAAAACAAAATGGCCGCCAGGAACCCGTAATGTCTAATGTATGTACCAAGTTTGAACGAAATCCATCCATAAAATGCCAGAAATGCTTGATAATTTTTTAGCACAAAAATGACCACCATTTGGCCATTTTGAATAGGATCATTAAACCAATATACAGTACAGTTCTCGCGAAAGCTTTGGCTTTTGTGGCATCATTGTTGCCTACGCATGGCTTCATTGTCGCCTCAGCAACGCATCATTGTGGCATCAACTTCACGTCATTGAAAATTGAAGCTGTGTTTGCCTCGCTTATTTTGTGGCATTCATCGTGGCCTCAGCTTCGCAGTCTCATGGCATCAACATGGCATCAGCTTCAAAAGTATTGTGACATGAGTATGACCCCATTATTTCCACATGGAAAGGCAGTAGAGAAAAACACATGTACAGAAGTTCAATATGTAATCGATTTGAAATTCAAGTCGGTAAGGGGAATAAAATAATATGACCAAGAGTAAAATGACATTTTAAAAAGATATCTTGTTTAATTATTTAATGTTGCGAGTATTGGGTACCAAAATCTTTGTGAAGTACATTGCAATCTGCAAGGTGACGAGTGTCATATTGACTGCAAGGAAAATCGTGATAAATTTAAATCACACGATGCAATCGTCGCTCGGATACAACACAATTTGCTTTACGAAATGAAACTGTTCTTGTTATAAAATTACTTTATTTTCGTTCATTTTATTTGCTGGTAAGACAATAGATTCACATTCCTCATTTCGGTGGTATTTTTCTGTGTTTCGTTTAGTTTTAGTAGAGTCCGATCCCATGCCCGGACTACTAATACGCCACCTGGTGCGTCGGCGTTGTCGCCCGCCATCTGGATACAAAGTTCCAAAACAAGTGCGTACATTTCTAACTATGATTGGATGGTTGTGGTGGCGTCAGTCAGGTAAAATTTTACATCAAATTTTCAAAATTAAATCACGATCAGTGACCTGAGCTCGATCTATACGTACTTTAAAAGTATACTCACGAAAAATATTTTCGAATAAAAACGAGCCACATACCCTGTAAAAAATAAAATAGAACTTGACATGCAGAAATAATTTATTGGGCTTCAGAAAAAAACGTGCCCATTTAGTTGTAGCCGTAAATATTTGGTGACCAGTCGATGAACAATTTGAAACTGATACACACGGAAGTCCTTCGATACTGAATATCATAGACCCCAATCTGGTTTACCTTATTTCCCAACTTGCAAAACTGATTTGTATCTCAGCCCATTTTCTTTTTCTTTTTTAGAACTGAGGTCAAATCCCAGCCGTTTGTCAAAATATACAGATGTTTTTCAGTGAATAATTGTGAAGCCTGTCACAGCACAAAAAAACTATGTGAGTCTACGCCAGGAGATTGAATGGTACGACGACCCTAAAATTAGCATCAAATATGCTTTGTTACAACATCATTGATTGGCTGAGAGTCACCTGATCGGAGCACGACCTGGGTCACA